ACATTTTTAAATGAGAACCAATTCTGAAGAAACAAAACTTATTTTTAAAACATAATAACATAATGATGACCTCTAAGAAAATAAAATGTTTTACATTAAAATTAACACATTTTTCCTGTTGGTAAATAAGTTGAGAAAGTTGGCCTCCACAAAATCTACAGTAAAAATATGAATTTTAGTAACGCAAGTTGAGAAAACTTCAGAAATTGTGTATATAAAGCATCTCTCGGTGTTACTGAGCCCAGGATCTGATAACTGAGCAGTGTTCAGGCAAGCTGGGCAGGGCAGATTAAACCAGTGTGTGAAGAATGTATCTGCTTAGGCCTGATAGCCATGACCAAATAAAACAGCCCTCCGAATCGCTCCCACTTCTCATTGAAGACGTCTCTTTAGGGAAACGTCCACGGTGAACTCAAGCTCCCTCCGTACCTCTCAGCACTCCTGTATGCACAGTGCAACAACATGCACTTTCAAAGATGGACATGAATCTAAACGTCCACTGTATCTGTCCTGCGTTCTTTACCTGAGCTTCCCTAACCAGGGCCTCTATGTCATCAGAGCCAATCCAAATAAAACAGCCCTCCGAATCGCTCCCACTTTTCATTGAAGACGTCTCTTTAGGGAAACGTCCATGGTGAACTCAAGCTCCCCCCGTACCTCTTAGCACTCATGTATGCACAGTGCAACTGCATGCAGTTTTAAAGATGGACATGAATCTAAACATCCACAGTATCTGTCCTGCATTCTTTACCTGAACTTCCCTAACCAGGGCCTCTATGTCATCAGAGCCAATAGGCATTCTCAGAAAACCATAAAAGTGGCAAGATGTCCGAGGTCCAAATGTTAAGCCACCAGGGTTGAAGATTTTCTCATCGTGCCCTTCCATAAGTCCCAAGGTTGCACCATAATATACTAATTATGGTGAATAATGCTCAGCGAATGGCAAAACTTTGTCAGCCTTTTGGAAGCTACGGTGACATCAATCAGCTGCTTCCTGCACGCCCCCTTCCGGGGATAGAGCACGCACCAAGGTAGATGCTCTTGACCGGAATTGAACCTGGGACCCTTCAGTCCACGGGCCGAAGCTCTATCCACTGAGCCAAACCGGTTAGGGCCTCTTTTTTTCTTTTTCTGTAGTGACTAAAAATTCAAAGAACAAACATTTCTTCATTGGTCTGAAACCTCTTTCCTGAGTGTCTCCTGTGCATAACCACCTTGCTACACGCTTTAAAGACTATTGTTCTTATCCACATTTATTTGATTTCCCGATGGCCAAGGCTGCTGATTGTTTCCCGTTATTTGTTTGGTCACAGGTTATCACATGGCTGGCATTCTTGGTGCGAAAGTCCTGGAATAGGACCTTCAACAATGTTGATGGACTGGGAGAAGGTATAGACCAATACAGATGCGGAGCACTGTGACATGATGGACATACTTACATGGATTCGGCTCTGTTTAAAAACATACAAACCAGATAACCATGGGAGGAGCTTACCTCTCAGGGACTCTCTCTGATTTCTCACATAAAAATGGGATCTAGAATACCTGTTTTGCAAAATCTTCTAAAGATGAGAAAATAAAGTAATCATATTGACATATAAATTAAGAGTTGATAGATTCTAATTGAAGGTGGTCCATCTTATCTCTTGAATAAAGATACAAAAATGTTACCTTTCCACCTCAACTGCAGTTAGAGTTTCTTTGGTGTATGTGATATAATGCATTTTTTATAAAAGATTTATGTCCCTGCCTTTAGTAGTCAAATTTGACTTGAATATAATGAAAGTATATGGAAAAGTAAAGTAGTACTAGACTTTCAAGAAGAGAATTTAAGCTCACCCTGTTTCTTTGGTGACATAATCCAGGAACAGGGAAAACTGGAAATGTAGAACCTTGATTCAATCTAGTACAGTGGTTCTCAACCTTCCTAATGCCGTGACCCTTTAATACAGTTCCTCATGTTGTGGTGACCCCCAATTTCATCGTTACAAATTGAACATAATTAAAGCATAGTGATTAATCACAAAAACAATATGTAATTATATATGTGTTTTCCAATGGTCTTAGGCGACCCCTGTGAAAGGGTCGTTCGACCCCCAAAGGGGCCGCGACCCACAGGTTGAGAACCGCTGATCTAGTAGATCATGAAAGTTCGGTTATTCAAATTGGATTATACTAGAATGAAGTTTGGCATGGAGAATGCCATTGTTAACATAAGTAGCTAGATATCAATAAAGGAAAGGAGCAAAGAGAATCAGACATTATTCAGATAAGCAAACAGGAAGCATAAGCCTGCATGCTAGGAAGTTGCAGCACTCAAAGGTACCCCAGGGCATCAGAGCATCACCCTGATAAGGGATGAGCATCCTTCAGTGCTCCCACCCCTTAGGGAGGAGGGGCCTCTTTTCAATCTTCCCAGAGTACAACCAGTCCATCCCTCCAGACTACGGGGCAACGAGTAAAAATAGCAGGAGAAATTCCTCTGCTAGGAGCATGCCCACTAGAAGCCAAGATGGCCTTGAGGAAGGTGCTTCTACCAGGCATGCACAGCATAGTGATTAATCACAAAAACAATATGTAATTATATATGTGCTTTCCGATGGTCTTAGGCGACCCCTGAGAAAGGGTCGTTCGACCCCCAAAGGGGCCGCGACCCACAGGTTGAGAACCGCTGATCTAGTAGATCATGAAAGTTCGATTATTCAAATTTGATTTATACTAGAATGAAGTTTGGCATGGACAATGCCATTGTTAACATAAGTAGCTAGAGATCAATAAAGGAAAGGAGCAAAGAGAATCAGACATTATTCAGATAAGCAAACAGGAAGCATCAGCCTGCTTGCTAGGAAGTTGCAGCACTCAAAGGTACCCCCAGGGATCAGAGCATCGCCCCGATAAGGAATGAGCATCCTTCAGTGCTTCCACCCTTTACAGAGGAGGGGCCTCTTTTCAATCTTCCCAGAGTACAACCAGTCAGCCCATCCCTCCAGACTACGGGGCAAGGAGTAAAAATAGCAGGAGAAAT